TGGAGCTGCACCAGCTGTGTCCGAGCAACTCTTTCCCTGGAAGCAGGTGGGAGAGAGACTGAGAGATGTGCGGATAAAGTCATGGGTGACGGGAGCTTTGAGATGGGAAAAAGTGTTGACAACATCTTCAATCCACCTTCACGTAACCGTTTGCGCTGGTGGCCCCTGCTCTGGCCCCTCGCCCTCTTCGCCCTCCGCCTTCTCTTCCTCCACCGCCTCTGTCCGACTGCTCTTCAGCCTGGCTGGGATCGGCGGCCTCATCGAAGTACAACCTGAGCGTGTTGCGTATCACCAGGCGCTCTACGATAAAGGAGGCGCAGAACCACGGCACAGCGTACTCTGCCGTGATCAGGCCCATGAAGTTATATTTAAATTCAGAGTAGTCCCACGGACAGGCGTTGAACTGCCGTAGCAGCAAACCCGTGCCAAACTCCCACAGGTACGTCCACAGTGTGTATATGATGCAGCGGAGCAGCACATTGCAGCGGTCCCGCAGACAAAGGTACATGCGCTCTACGATCAGGATGCAGGTTCCGTAGATGAAGAGCGCCCACACGCTCGTCACGCCAGGAAACTTCCAGTTGCAGTTCACCACAAACTCCCAGGCTGCCGTGAACATGACTTCACAGAAGTAACCGTGGATGGCGTACAAGTACCACCGAGAGAGGGCCGTAAGGGGCTCAGGGGTCACTGTGGTTGCCATGATGACCATCTTCCTTTTACTTTGATGTGTGGAGTTAATAGGCATCAGGAAGTAAAAGAAAGAAAAAAAAGAGTGTGTTATAAATCGGCATTGCAGCAGAGGCTATGTTCTGAATGGAATACTAGCATACTGCATTCTATGCAGTGGACAGTGTAGACTGCCTACTGTTTTTCAAAATAGTATGTAAAACAGCAGTACACAACCTGCAGGTGCCATTTTTGGTTGTGGGTAGTGGTCGACCGAAATTGTTTTTTTGACAGCCGATGCCGATATCTTGGAAAGCAGGGTGGCCGATGGCCGATATAAAGCGATATAATTTTATTTATTTTAATTAATATTTAAGAAATTTGAAATCATTTGAAAATTTATAAAAATATAAATGTGTTAAATAAACATACTTATACTTTAGATGACAAAGTATTTTTCACAAATAAATATATATTTAATAAAGATATAATTAAAAAGGAAGTAAACACTGTAACCAACAGGGCACTCAGTATTTTGGGAAGTTTGTGTGCATTGGGAATCATATTTTTTTCAAATAAAGCCAAGGTAATACTAATTTTACATACAGCACAGTGAAAATTGCATGAATATGACAGTGGGCAAATGCATAAAG